GTGTTTTTGCAATTGTATGGCAAATTTAACTGACACATTCATAACGCCAGACAAATGGAAAGGTTGGTGGTAGTGCAAATCTCCAGAGACAATTTTGTTATAATTGAATTGCGTCTAGCCCTTTCAACAATTCAACGTCTCCTTTATCGTACCATTTGGTGCGCCACGCTGTGCATTCACGTGATCTTTTCTGGGCATAAGGGTTTATAAGACTAAAACGTCCGTCCACCAATGAAAAGATCGCGAAAATGTGTGAAAATTCTAAGACCTGATCTGAGGATATAACATCAACAATTATAATCATGGCAGGCTCTATACACACTGTTGGATTAGATACATACCTCGCAAAAAAAAGTCTACAATATCTTGTATGCTCCCGATAAATACATGATTAAACAGAAGAGATAATGGATACAAGTGGCGGTGCGTATTGGGATCACAAGGCATCATATGTGTAATCAATATTTGCAATGAGAATTGTTGGTTGCGAAGAGCTGGATATTCTACCTCATGTTGTGGTCGACCATTTCGATGTCTATGGCAGTCAAGTAGCATACGACAAAGAGGATGTCCATACTTTGAGCCAAAACTTGTCGATTAATGAAAGGAATGCGTCAAAAGAGGATATCTCAATCATGACATCAATGCTCAAATTGTTTATAATATCAACTATCACAGTAATTTAACGAGCCAGACAGGAAGACACCTCACTGACAGAATGGACAGTTGATACCACGGAAAAGAGTCTATCAATCTGGAGGCTCACAAGTACATTTGACAAATGCTCACGCAATGAGAAAATGGAAGTCAAGATTGCAGATGGCAAGCAATTACTCGACAGGGGGACCTGCACGTTGATATCGACTGGTTTGGTGAATAGAGGATTCGCATGGTTGACGTTTTATCTATCCCTCAAATCGGCAGGAGATGGTTGACTGTTGGTAACCGTGCGTGACGTGGCATGAAAATAGAGTTTTCACGATCATCATGTGTCATATGGAACAATGAACATGCGACTACATTGGATACAACAATCGGAAAAGCGTATGAGCTCGACTGTGAGCAGTCAGAAGCATGTTAAGTGGGTATTTGAGGGCTGACCTTCAGTAAGAGCACGGGACACGGTCTACTTTAATCACAGCGCTTTACCAAAAGCATTGCGATGATCGAGCAAAAAGCAAAAACATTGTTTGCCAAATGTTTAAAAAGAATGCAATCAGCGACACCATTGTCTTTACGCTTGATGGCATAGACAACACGTGTGCCAGAGTGCGTGCAGTAGAGATTATGGGGCCAATGCGAACCCCCTTGAGGTAAGGTGCAAAGAAGTTTACCACGTGTGCAGTATTTTTATAGATATTTCGTGATTTTCCTGATTCAGAGTAAGAGTAAAGTAACTTGCACGTTAAGGAACTCATGACGCTTCATAAAATTTGATGGGGTGTTTGTTTGAAATGTTTAAGATCCGACAACAGGACATAACTCGTAAGCATGACGATGATAGACATATATCGTCAGAGCGACATCGTCCACCAGCGCTTCATTCCAATATAGCCCATAGCAGAATAGAGTGGTGTGGTGCATGAGCAGGACTATCGTGGCGAAGGTTCGCAGTATGACTTTCTACAAGATCGTTTCGACTGAATGATGGGTCGCGTTGCAAATAACAATTTATTTGACAAATTGTCCAATTACAGCCCATCCAGACATCGCGAGTGACGAAGGTTTCAATAGATCACTTGCGCATATTGGATTCGCAAAGTTCTGCTCATGCTGACGATGCAAAGAGAGCAAGGCCGAGAATCATGAACTTCAAATGTATGTGAGCTTTATGTGTATGTTTCTTGGCTAAGTAAAAATAAGGGTTAGCATGTGTTTTCCTAGGAAATAACCACAGTCAAATGCTTCGCTAGGTGAGATTGAAGGAGTGTGAAGTAGGCGGAATTTAAAATACGCGAGGACAACATTTGGAAGTGATCATCAAAAATATATAGGGTAGTGATGATGGCAATGTTAGACTCAAATTGATCAACTGTCAGTTTGATTTTATACACCAAAATTTTTTGAAGACGAGTCGCAGACGTCGAAGTATACGATATTGAGCGTACACCAAGCGTTGGCTTTCCACAGCCGACGCCTTCCGGACGCTATGTTGAAAGCAGATTGGAGCTAGCAGAGTATTTTTCACCTCCTCATACATAAGAAGAGGGGTGCAGCGAAGCGAACATAATGAATACGTGAGCCAAATTTGATACTAATACTTAGGTGCGGCTCAGACTATGAGAAAGTAGTGGTGACCCACCTATACCTAGGCTTGCTAGAATTGGCGAAGACAGAGCCATTGCCGATGCTGTTCATGTAATACGGACATACCGACTACATAGGCTTAAGCATTGAATAGCGATATTATGGTAAAGTGTCGTAAAGCCATGGAAGCTGAGCTTCGATCCCATGAGCAAACTTAATCCTGAATCATGTAGCCACGATGAAAGACCATTCGTTCAACTAAATCAACACGAGTATTTGACAGAAGAAGTGATCAAACCGCAACTTTCATGTGGTACAAGGCACGACTTTTTGCAAAGGGTCTTAAGCAAAACTACGGGATGGAGTTATCTGATTTGGCTTCCTCTGTTGCCAACACGAATTCGATTCGGACGAGACTTGCAGCGTCAACCATCAACCGTGTGTTGACAGACAATGTTTTATTCACTTGGTGCAGCCAGTGCTGACGGATACGTGTGTCAACTGTGGACGTTTTTGAGCTATAGAAATGAAATCTCTGCTAGAGTACCTAGAGCAGTAGATGTCGGCGTCGACGGTGTCCATGACGCCACCGTCGACGACGGATGACTTCTCCCGACCCAGGCCGCTCATGGTGAGCGTTAAAACCTTTAAGGGTAAAATGGAGAGGATCACCTGCTATGAAAGAGAGAGGCCGAGATGGCTATGGCATTCGCCATTTTACAGAATGAGCACCAGCGCGTGGCGCTAGCCATCGCCAAGCTCGATGGTCGAGCGCAAAAATGGGCACTGACGTGCGGTACTTCGGTTCAAGTAGCGATACCCTTCGGGACAGAGCTAAAGCAGCAGCTGTTACGAGCCTCACCAAGCATTCCGCGCGCGATCGCGTCTCCTTGCCGGTCGACAAAGCAAGAAGAAATTGGTGGATTTTGTCCAAACGTTGCGTACTCTTATTGCTAGGATGGCAGCCGATCCTCTCCCCGGGGCGGCCACAGTGGCCGTCTTTATGGAAGGCCTCCGCTCTGTCGTGACCAAAATGGAAGTCCTCTATGTGCAGCCGTCTTCTTCAAAGAGCCGGTAAATGTGGCTTTGAATGCCGAACTTAATTTAGGTCGGCATGACTTGGCTGGCATGCACACCATAGTAGCTCGTCGAGCGGGCCTGAGCTAATGGATCGTAGCTATTCTGAGAAAGAGGCGGCAGATCTTCGAGCTGCCAGGCTGCCTTCAAACACCCGGCGGTGTTTTGTCCGTGGAGACACTTGCCTCCTTCGAACTGGTTGTCCCCTGCGCAAGACGCGTCAATGTCCATCAAACCGATGTCTCGCTTCTCACCAGTATGTTTTTTTGCGGGGAAACAGCAACACACAGAGGCGCGGGGTGCTCTACTGGGGAAGAACTGAGTTATATTGAGTCTCAAAGAGGTAGAGGGCAGCAGGGCCCAGCTCCGAAGCGCTCCGTGCTTTTGAACTCGGATCATGTATGCAGGCCGGGCTTGCTGGTCGTGAAAGTGACCGTGAAGGGCTTTGAGAAGCCACGGAAGATCCTTAGCAACTCCGGAACGGGGTTACTGTAGCGCCTATGTGGATAGTCAACTAATTGCTGGATGGTAGGTAGGTAACTTAGCTGCTTATGCTCGACGCTCTACGATAGAAGAAAGTCAGCTGTATGCCGAGGCGCTGAAAGCTCAATTGAATGACACTGTCACTGTTCGCTTAGCGGCGGGACTTGTGTAACGGTGCCAAGGGTGCATGTGGACCTCGGTGTCAAGTTTCTTGACCTCGATAACTCGGAACGCTGTTTAATCTTATACTTGGATTCAAATATGGTATGGTTGCGACACCATGAGCCATGGATCGATTGGATGTCGAAAACCTTAAACGCCACGCCCGCATCTCCTGGTAGAGCTTTGGTTAGTCATATGCCCACCTCTGCTAGGATGCAGAAGCGCTATTGGCGCAGGCACTAGACCGGGACGGTCAACATGCTAGAGATCGGAGTATTAGAGCAGAGCATGCCGCTCAGAGTACTCACCACAGGCAGCGGAATATCACTCGCTCGCATGAGCCACTGGTGATATCCATCGGCCAAGAAGATTGCACTGTACTTTGAACATTTAACCATGTTGTTTGGAAGGACATCCTTCCTAAAATCGGCGTGTGAGCCGGAATGGGGACAGCGCTTGAGCTTATTGGAAACGTGTACGATTTGCCACTTGCCGATCGGCTTCCGGACACAAAATGTGGGTGTCAAATGGGAAGACTTACTCTCACGCACTATTCCTGCGTCGGGCTTTGCGCGAAAGAAAGCGTCAATGACGTCCTACTGCTCCTTGGCCAGGGACCATTGGCGTGTTACGCAGTATTTGGCTTCCGAAACCAGGTCGATCTCATGACGCACAGCTCGGTCCGGAGGTAGAGCCGAAGGCGGGACTTTGGAGACGACGCCTTGAATTTCTTTACAAAAGGATAGTACTGATCTGAGGGCTCCTTCGGGATCGATGATCTAATTCGTGCGCTCATCAGCCCCCCTTGGTGTCCTCCAGGACAGCTTTATCCAGAAGCGTCGACGAGTTAATCTCCTCGTTCGGTCTTATAATGACCACCTCGGCTAAATGGCTTGCCTTCAAGGCTCAGCCAAGCTCTGCGAAGGGCATCTCGTCCATCTCATAACGAGTATCCTCCGCGGGAATAGCCCTGAGGGCGACGTCGCCGTCTTCTTCTCCTGTTATACCATATACAATGGTATATAGCTGTGCGCTATCGTCTACGGTAGACACACCCTGGGTCAGGGTCGACGCCCTGCTTATTGCAGATATCATATGGCTTCGCCGTCTTCTCTCTATAGATGTTTTGCGTCTCATCGAGACCCGTGACATGCAGCGACTGTTCGAGATGTTAGCAGTGCTCTGTGGATTACGTGCCACTACACGTGCACCGCAGGGCCTCGTCCTCGATGCCTCGGCCCTTGGCTGACCATACCATGCATGGCATGCAGTG